TATACATATCTTCATATGCAATGTGCTTAAGTGTTATTACTTGTGAAACAATAATTAAAGAAATCGACTTTAAAGCATGGAATTCATTACTACTCTATGGCTAACATTTAAAAACTAAGTAAACAAAAATGACCCATTATTTTAAGAAACAAAACGTACGCGAAGGGCATATTTGTAGCACGAAGATGATTGGGGCATAGACTCAATTAAAGTTCATTTAAATATTGCTTCTTTTATATTTGTATCTCTTTTGTTTCTTTGAGGTGGGTGGCTTCGAAGATGCTTGTTTATTACATTATTGGGCGGTGGTGCAATAATATAACGAGGGAAAATGATGTCGTGACAGGGCATGTGGGGCTCCTCCGTCATCACGCTTGGGAGATACCTTGTTAACTCAAACCATCCATCAAAGCCCCAAGATCGAAGGCTCTTGGAACGCCTGTGAGCCAATTCGCCCGTCACTCCAGCACTCATGTGTTTAAGCCAAAGGAGCTGTGTTGAGATGCTGGGATGTTGCATTGACTTTTTAAAGTTAATTTGACATGAGATCATGTCCTGGTTTCACTGAGATCCAACGGTGGTAATGTTGTTTGTAATGTTCAAGGTTGCGGTGACTCTAGCAAATAATAATGTGCACAAAAGTAAAGAGCTGTCAAGGTGATGGGATGTGCATTGACTTTTCTGTAATATAAAACATAAGGGGTACCCTTAGCCTCGATTTGTGTTATATATACGTGCTGCATTTATTCAATCACTCCTTCATAGCCCTCTACTCTTAACCTTCGCCCTCTCCTTCTTTGTGTCATCCGTCCTTAACCTCATCATATGCAGCATAGTTTTTTTAATATTTGTAATCTCGAAACTCTCATTTCTTTTTCATTTTCATCTTCCTATGTCAGCAACTAACCGCCTGGTGCCATTTTTTTCAGCTTTCTAATCTATATTCTCTTCGTTTGAAGCTGGATCTGTCCGTTTTCATTCTTCCTTAGCAGTACCTTTATAAAAACATTTGAAGCATGTAAGTTTTGCCTTTGCTAGTTCAACTCCAATTCCAAAAATCACCCAAAAAGATTGTTTTGCTTTGATTTTTCTATGCAAGTAGTTGAAGCTTTATCTATCTAGTTAGTTGTAGTTTGTAATCTGGCTACCTTCATATCTCCTATTACTTAGCCACACTTTTATAAAAGCCTGCACAGCATGTAATTTAGGGTATTTCCATCTCTTGATCATCAATCCAAAAAACCAAAAAAAAAAGGTTTAGTATCACAAGTTACAGTATAATGTTTCCATAGAATTTTGTCAAATATCCTTTGCTCCTGATTGTTACTAATCGTGGCGAAGATTAGAACAACCGTGTAGCAATACCTTTATAAAAGCAGTCAAATCATGTAACAATCCTCTATATTTCCAAGCTTCCATCAATTCTAAAAAACCAAAAAAAAAAAAAATTCTGTTCCTTATTGAAAAAAAAAGGAAGTTTTTCTGAAGAGATATGCCTGACGAGGAGACTGCAACCCCAACGGCGTCGGCACCGGCAACTCCGGGAACGCCAGGTGGACCGCTGTTCACGTCGATGAGAGTGGACTCATTGTCTTATGATCGGAAGTCAATGCCACGGTGCAAATGCTTTCCGGTAACTGCCCCAACGTGGGGTCAACCTCACACATGCTTCACTGATTTCCCTGCACCTGACGTCTCGCTTACCCGCAAGGTGCCACCCCCTCTCTCTCTCAGTTGAGATATTTTATTAATTGGTTTCTCTTCATATTAATGGCCATTTATTACTACAATTAGTAGACTATTACGTCAAATAGCATGGGCGACAAGCGTTTGGTTGCTATACGCGCCAAAACCTTTGCAACAGCATGGGCCCGCTTGAGAGAAAAGGGTTTCTGGCAGAATCATTAGTCAGCAATGATACGTTGCAATGTTTCACATTGAATAATGTAGTAACGCTGGGAGCGGGATGTCTTTGTAATTGTATACATCGTTCTAAAAAACAAATCCAGTGTTAAGCTATAGTAATGGGTTGGAAGCCATTCATTTAAATATGAACCCTATTAGCCCCTTTTATGCCTGGATACCAGAAACTAAGATTAGGGGATGCAGATGCAGTACCCTTTTGCCCTTTTCTTTTGGAGAAATGACTTCGGAAATTAATCAAAACGGAGCCTGATAACCTGCTAGGAAATACACAGAATCTTTCAAACACAAAAGGCTGCACCATGGTTCGGCAAAGTTCGTCGTTTATTGGATGGGAAGAGTAGTAGAGTTGGACTTTCAATGATTCTCCGACACTAGTAGGGGGAATCCTGTTGAAACATATGGGAGTTGGCTTTCCTCCACTTAGTAGTGGAAGCAAAGATTTGGTCAACCAGGCAGCAAACGAGGGTTTACATATTTCCACTCAGAATGAAAGCCCAAAATCCACCGACTCGTAGTTTTGAGTGGCCTGCTTTTTGGGTTATGTGGGGTAGTGGGGGTGATGACTCATAAGAGATAAAGGAAATTCCTGAATTAGTATAGGGTCTAGCCTAAGATAAAAAAGTTTAGTGGTTTTCGAGAGATTGGTTATATATATTTTACAAGCCTGAATCGTTCCATAAGAACGAGCAGGACCTGAAAAACCTGCCTATGTGTTCAGACACGGGTAGAAGTTATAATGGTGTGGATTTATGCAGCTTGGAGCAGAATTTGTGGGAACCTTTATCCTAATTTTCGCTGCTACAGCGGGGCCCATAGTGAACCAAAAGTATTCCGGAGCCGAGACACTGATAGGGAACGCGGCATGTGCAGGGCTGGCTGTGATGATAATAATCTTATCAACCGGACACATCTCGGGGGCTCATCTGAACCCTTTCCTCACCATCGCATTTGCAGCCTGTCGTCACTTTCCATGGTCTCAGGTTCCAGCCTACGTGGCAGCTCAGGTTTCGGCGTCCATCTGTGCTTCTTTTGCTCTCAAGGGCGTTTTCCATCCCTTCATGTCTGGTGGCGTCACTGTACCCTCTGTCGGCTATGGACAAGCTTTGCACTAGAGTTCCTTATTACTTTTAATCTTCTCTTCGTTGTCACCGCTGTTGCCACTGACACCCGTGCGGTACGTATTGTTGCTATGTCATTGCCACAATTCAACCTTGTCCCAATATCTATGCTGTCATGTGGGTAATTTTATTTCCCATGTACTTACCACTCCCTCTTGTCTTTTATTCTCATGGACAGGTTGGAGAGCTGGCGGGCATAGCGGTTGGGGCGACTGTCATGCTCAACATTCTTGTGGCTGGGTAACTACTTGTTTGCTTCTTTTCCCTAATTAAATCCCTTGCTTCATGTTACCAAGTTTTAACTCTTTTTGATCCATATATATTGGTTTATGCTTTAAACATGTCACAATTAGATTGAATTAGTTTAGTATTTATTTTGTCTCAACTTGGAATTTTTTAATAAATATTTTGATGCACGCCTTGAAATGAATATTATATTCCTTTGATTATCTCACTTTTTTTTTCAAATATTAAAGATGTTAAACTTTTCTTTGGCGTACGGATAAGAAATGTAGAATTAATGATCAAGAAATGTCAAATGGGTATAACTATATATATTTTTCAAACTTTACTCAAGGGTCAACACATGGTATTTAATGGGGATATATATTTGTAATTATGAATTTGACTTGGACTAACTATTTCAATAATGCATTACTTCATAAGAAAAAAAAAACCCATCTAAATAATTTATTAAAATGTAAACTCAATAATGTACAATTTTTTTGGGTCCTTCAATATATTGTTAAGACTAAAGATAATGAAATAATTGTGTAACTTGCTTCCCTATACTGACGTGACAAGTTGGAAACATTGGTAGCCACCAGCCAACTATGTTCGGGTGCGCCCTTCTATTATTTGTGATGCTTGAGGTCGGTTGCAACGTGTAGGTTGTCATGGATAGTAAAGCATCAACGCCCCCATTATCTTCTCTAATCTAATCTAAACTCTAATGTAATTATAAAATCTATATAGTATATAAAATATAACCACAAGTTCCTGGACATATGTAGATAGAGCAGGTAGGCGTAGGTTGACAGCAAAGACATTTGATAGGAAGGGGTCGGTTTTTGGTGCCATTCAAAAGAAAAAAGTAGCCAAGAAATGATAAAAATTTTTGTTTGACCTTTGTTTTGCAGGTCAAGTAGTGGCGGTTCAATGAATCCAGTGAGGACTTTGGGGCCGGCTGTGGCAGCAGGAAATTACAAGGCATTGTGGATTTACTTGATAGCACCCACGCTGGGTGCGCTTTTTGGTTCTGGCACCTACACTCTGGTCAAGCTCCATGAGGACGAGGCAGAAGCACCACGGCAGGTCAGAGTTTTCGACGCTAGCTTTGCCTGCCAGCAATCATATCAATCTTGAAGGGGAAAAAAGATGCTTTTTACGTATAATATTTGTTCTTCATCTTCTTCTTATGTCTTTCTATGAAAGCATATCGTGTCGTTTGATTGTGTGGGGTATGTTAAGATAGCTTTGGAGAATAATGGCGATGTGACCATAAGTCCACGCCCTACAGTTTGGTTTGAATAATGTGTTGTGCTCGCTTGTTTGTTTTGTGGGTTTTTGGACATGTTTCAGTTTGGGATTGCGTGTTTCTTTTGTGTTCGCGTCTTTGTCTGTTTAATAGCAATATGTACTATCACTCATAATAATTTGGCTTTGATTTGTAACTTTTCATTTGATGCTTTAATTTGTACCGTCAATGAAAGTATCTTATCATGTGTGATACTGTTTAACTAAGAGTATATGATGCGCGAAGCTTAGATTGTTTGCTTTAATCGCTACTTTATCATAGCTTGATTTAATACAGTAGTTAATTTGATAAGAAAGCTTTTAAGGTCAAAGCTGTCCTAGTCTTCTGCCCTAGTGTATAAAACAAATTACTGTAAAATCTTTGATTTCATTGCAAGAAAGCCTGACAGCCGTCTATGGCTCTATGCATCCAGTCAGGCCATGAGACCCCAAGCTTAGCTGAGACCATAAACGTTCCATAACAGCCTCGGCCGATCTCTATCCAGGTTTAAATGAGAATTCCTGTCCTTGTTACGGATCATAACTCATACAAGTATCAGGTCAGACAAGCTTCCTGCTAAGATTTACTAAAGGTTCCAACTATGTCGTACAATGTTGTCCGAACAACCAGTTACAGTTAGTTTGGAACATTGGGTTTCTAAATAACACTCCAGATGTTGTTATCTCCTATGTTGTAGGAGCTGCTATCCAGGGATGAATTCTCACCTTCCCTTTCTGGGCCATGTGATCGTTTTGAGACCGACGAGTAAATAGGCCCAAACAAGTACCCCTACGTATCCATGAGTGGTTGTAAGTAGTATCGATAGTTCGACTAGAAGCAAATCAAAATAATGCCCAAATCGACTATAATGTTTAAACTCAAATTTCCGTCAACCTGAAGGAAATGTTACTTTAACAAGTTTCTCCATTGCCGCAGAACTAAATGTAATGTACCCAGGAGAAATAGATACCAAAGAAAAAGCAAAGGAAAGCTAAAATAAGGTTACACGACTAAAAGAAAATTGATGCTCAGGGCATCATTTATTCGGATTACTTCTACTTCAAAATGCTTTGGATTCAATCCCAGAACTTCAATAGGACCCCCGTCCAACCTCCAATGGTATTGTCTCCAAAAATGCCACGCTGACAGCTGAAGTTGACTCAAACAAACCAAGCTTCTGTAGGAGTTTCTTAATTAGTTCACCAGCTACGTACGAGATGCCAGAAGCCATAAAACCCAAAGCGACATAGTATGATACAGTTCGGAAATAAGCTCTATGTGGTTTTCTAGCATGACCTTTCCCAAGAGCAAGCAAAATGATGCATACTAGAGAAGCACCTGCAACTGCTGCAAGCTTGAGGTCTTTATCATCACTCTTACGAAATGAGAAGCCGTAGACAATAGGAGGAACCAAACCAAAAAAGAGGAAAGATAAAATAGCTACACTGACGTGCAATACAAAATTCTGTCTCCGTCCTAACAGTACTTGATACCGGTCTTCTTCTACGTTGACCTTTGTGGAAGCCCCAGAAGGCTTGTCATTTTTCAGTTCTCTAAACTGTAAAGTTTAATTGTAAATCTAGTTGTCAGAAATTTGTCAATTCTAAAATTCATACGCTATAATTAAAGACAAATATGAAAACTCTAAAGCACCTACATGCATGGCAGTTCAGTACTTAAACCAAGCTAACGATGTAAAAGATCCAGACTTTGAAAATGCCTATCGACAAAACACGAATATGAAACAAGGTGCATTTGGAGTTCAGGAGTGTCTGTAGGAAGAGTGATAATACAAAAATTCAATCCTGCACTTGTCTTTGAATTTCCAAGTGAATCTAAATATGGGTGTTTTCTTCAGTATAAAACTCCTGGATTGACAATATATTAAAACTATATACAGATTAAAATCTACAAATTAACAGACAACTTTCAATTTTATAATGTATCAGGCTAACCAAAGAAATATTTTCACCAGGTAAAGAACTCACACTATGACTAATGATGATTAGTCCTCCAATCAGATTTGCAAATCCCAAAGCCAAAACATTCACTGCAATAACAAAGCAAAAACTTGGTATAATTGACAAAAGCATAAAATTATAGGCAATACTTATTATGTGTCTTCTTCGGGCGGCGATGCTTGGCCTATGAATCTGAAAGCAAGCATAACTTCTCAAAAAAGTTAGGTACAGTAGGTGCCATGCAAGGAAGTAGAGCAATTATAAAAATTTCAAGTGTAAATTGTTCTTTACTCTTTATGCAAGGAAATGAAGCCATTATAAATCATTTAGTGGAAGTGAGAAATATTGTAGGCTATATATATGATGAGGGATGAGAGAATATGAAAAAAATAAACATCTGTTAAAACCATTTAATGTAATCTGGGGGGACAGGAAAAAGAGAGAAAACTTACATGTATCAGCACCGGCACCTGCTGCAGAAGAAACAACACCTAAACTTGTAATAGATTCAATTAATCCGCCATAGACAATAGATTTTAGAATTTCCCATTCATGAGCTTCACCAGCATCTTCATCTCCACATCCATTCTGGTTTCCAGTTTGAGAAGAATTGCCCACCTCCGTCCTTGAGGAACATGTTGCCTCAAGTGGCCCTGCTTCAATATCCTCTATCTCATTGTCCCCTGCGTCATATTGCAATGGCAGAAGATGCAGAAAAATTAGAAGTTCTACGAATTGTAACATGCAATAGATTGAATTGCAATCATTAAATATAGAATCGATATATGTGAGAAAGCATAACTTTTCCAGTTCAAAGGAAAGAAACTTAAGAATTTAATATTCAATTAAAGGGAACCACATTAAGTGAATAGTACCACTATAAGAGCAAAAACACATTTAAAAGGAATAATCACCTCAAAGAGATTTACATATAAATTCAAAAGATAAATACTGATGAATAATATTGAGCTTAAAAAGTTCCCTTTCATATGTTGAGAAAGAGCAGGTTATATCAAGTGACTAAGACCTTGTCAAATGCAAAGGAATTTGTGGTGAGTGTCTAATTATCGATGTCATTTCTGCATAACACAATTATTACAAGCCTGGTTTAGCAGTAAATTCATGTTTCAAAGGATGCAGCGCACAAACTATTGGAGATCTCCACAATGTTAAGAAAATGTTGGCATTTATTTCTGTGCTTAGCCCCACAAAAATGCACATACCAGCATTTCTCTTTAACATGCCAGCATCTGGCTTCTTCTCCCTGGATTTAGCTTTCACCTTGTCAAATAGAGAGCTCATTGTTGAAGGAAAAATGTTACTTTTTCCAGGTTCTTTGGGTTTTATAATTGCATCATCTACATGCTCTCCACTGGTAACTGAGACTGAGAGGGTTGGTACTGCAGCACCTTGTACTGATGAGGCATGACAAGCTTGAGTAAAATAATACTTAGGAATTTAAACTTTAATATAAGGAATACATCAATTTCCTCTATAGTTTAAACGAAAGAAGATACACCATTCAGCAAGATTTTGCATTTTCACATTTAACTCGTCAAATCAAGAGAGAGACTAAATACAGAAAACTAAAGCACGAACAAGCTTAAATTCAAACAAAGTAGAGGTAGATTATCCAATCAAGTCTAAATCATTGTGCAACTATTTCAAGTCAAGCACAAAAGCCGGATCCTAGTTAGAGCGATAAGATACTGAACGATAAGAGAGAGAGAGAGAGTGATTCATATTATTTCCATCTCAACTAAGAAAAATAAAGAAAGAACAAATAAATAAATTTCAAACAGAAATGATGGTGTATTATGTTGATCAGGTCTCATAGGATATGCTATTACTTCAAATCAAGCACAATCAGCTTGATCCTAGTCAGAATAAGAAGATGATGACGGAGAAGATCGTCAAGGGCTTTCATACAGGAAAGCTGGCAAGAAAAAGAGATCAAAAACAGAAACAAAAGACCACCACTCACACAAAGATACTGTAGCTTTGAATCCTCAGGTTCCAATTAAAAACACAAAACAAGCACAACAAAAGTCAGGGGAATCATTAATGAGAACCTTCCTTTGAAACCAAGGTTTAACAGAGTCTAAATCTTATGAGCTTAATGCACAAGAAATATTTGAAAAAATGTCACTTCCCTAAAACTCCAATGAATTTAATAAACTAACACTTTGGTAACAACAAAAGATTAAAAACAGAGAGGAAAACATCACCACAACAATTCCAAAGGCAACCTGGAACCTTCAAAGTAACCACAAACTCCAATGAAGACTGATTCCACACAAAGAGCAATGGTAAACAAAAAAACAGAAAAAGGCAAGAATGAGCAAATAGCCGTAGTAGAATCTTTCATTGATTGGAAAGTTAATCCTACCTTTATCAACTATTGCTTGGCCCTTTTGCAATGCAAAAACAGAGAAAATCCAACTTGTCCTGGCTTTAGGTATGTTTTGAGGACTTTGCTTGCTTTCATTCTGGTTTATGTTCTGAGGACTCTGTGCAATTTCATTGCCGTTTGTCTTTTGCAGACTTTGTGTTATATCCTTCAGGATTATCTCTTGGGGACTTTGTGTGTCTTCGCTTGGGTTTATCTCTTGAGAAATTTGTGTGTTCTCACTCTGGCTTATCATTGGAGGGTTTCGTGTGTTTTGTGTGTCTTCAATGTGGCTTAGCATTTGAGGACTTTCTGTCTTTCCATTCTGGCTTATTCCTTTAGGACTTTTTGTTACATCCTTCTGGCTTCTCTCTTGAGGACTTTGTGTGACTTTGCTTGGGTTCATCTCTTGAGAAATTTGTGTGTTCTCACTCTGGTGTATCTCTTGAGGGTTTTGTGTGTTTTCATTCTGCTTCCCACATCCGAAGAACCGAAAGATCTTGAAACAACCATTTCCTTCAAAATTTAAACAATGTGTTAGGTTTCAAGTCCATATAACACCCTAGCTAGTAATGCTTGAAAGTCATCAAAAAAAATAAACATATTTGATACTAAACTCATACCAAGGAACTGAAAAATAAGATACAAGCATGCATCAAAATAGACATCCATATAAGTGAGGTTTCTACTGTATGTATAGATCTTTATAAAACGTTAGTTGCTATTGTTGTAACGATTAGTAAGATACTTAGATGATTAATTTAGAGGATTAAGTCTTCATGCAGCATAAGAGCACAATACCTATAGGAATGAAAAGTCTGAAGCATGATAAGCAGCTGATTGCTTCTTGCTCTGTACTGTTATTTTCCACACCAGGTGCCAGTGTTGGACTATCATTTGAATTTATTTCAGTTGAGTTACCACTACGACCATCAACCACAGCAGCAGAAATTGGATTCAACTTTTTCACGTGCCTTGGTTTGTGGCGTATATTTGAAATTTTTGGCTTTCTTCTACGAAGGATGACCCGTTGGGTAATGCAGGAATTGCAATTTGGACAGTACAAATCATGTGTATTCTGTTTCTCTAAAACCCTTTCAACATCTAATTCCATCAAATCCTCTTCAATTTCTCCAATTAAGTCAATGTTGGCATCTACTTTAGTTGCATAGTCAAAATGCTTGAAACTTGTATTTGTTTCTTCATCTGACTGTTCAACCGGTGCGGAGCTCAAAGGAAAAAAGTTCCAATCCCCTACATTCTTCAACTGTTGATGATTGATTTCCGTGCTCAGGCCTTCTGAAATTTCAGATTGCATTTCAGAAACCCCATTGATGGATTCGGTGCCTGCAACCATGCAGCAGAAAAACGCTTTGTTAAGAAACTGTGGGCTAGCATTTTTCTATTAAGAAACATTTCAATTTGAATAAAAATTTCCAAATAATATGCCATGATTTTGTTAAATTTCAAAACTTGCAATTGATAATGGAATACTAGAATATCAGCCAGCACTCACATTTTATAGACGCAAAGGGAGGTATTTCCATATCTAAACAAAATCACAATCCAGAGGATCAAAGGGAAAAAAAAATCTCACAAATACAGAGCATCTGCACAACATTCTAAATGAAAATTCACCATTCACCGTCGAACAAAATAATCCAGGAAGATATCATCAAAGACATTGTACTCCAATGTCAGGAATTAATGCAACTGGCCCATATCTAAAGCTATTAGTATTTTAGATGGACATAAACACTAACGGCCGCAAGCTATAATGAAACAAAACAGCTTGCCACAATCACTTCATCCATGGACAAGGTTCAGCCTGTTGCATTTGACCAACAGCCAGTGCTACCATCCGTGCATGAAATCTCGGTATCTACTGACTTTTAGTTTCTAAAGTGAAACATGGTCGCCACTGATTTAAAGTTTGGCTATTCATCAGCATGCGCAAGTACCCCTTGGGTTTTTGAACGTCAAGTATGCAAGGACTTCCAATTCGGTGGGTCCAATTGCAATGGCAACATTTCCAAATTCCTTCAGCCACAAACAAGGAAAAACAATGGCATTCTCACCAATAACCGATATAGGAGACGATCACAGGGACGAACAAGCAAAAGAATAAAATATAAAGCGAAGAAATTTCCCAATGCAGGTGATCCCAAAGAGAACACAGATGACACTGGTTTTGACACGTACAAAATGGCTGGTCAAGGTTAAGTACTTGTGATTTTATCAGAAGCTGAAACATTTGAAAGATATGAAAGAAGATTCAAGTGATGAATGTACAAAAAGTTCAAATGTTTAGATTGACTGATGAGGGTTGCAATTCACCATCTAGCAACAATAATCAAAGATGAATGACAGCAATAGGATAACAGCGAAGCTCTTAAAACACCAATAAGACTGCTTCATTCTCTTATAGACTACATGAAAAGGCAATTGCTCAATTACACAAGCACTACACTTTCACTTCAGTCAAACATCTTAATTGAAAAAAATAAAAATTGTTAGTTATGCAAAATCTTAGTAATCCTGGGAACTAGTTCTCTTCTTTCTTCGGTCTCTGCAGTATTCTCAGCAAGGAAATTACGTAATACATTTAAAATGAAATTTTTACAATGAATGAATCTAAAGATTGAGCTGACAGGCATGTTCGAACAAAAGAAACGAAAACCTTGTGGTCCTCATCAACTTTTACATGATATTCGAGCTCCAAGTTGCTAATTATGGCAGGTAGCCAGTGGGGTTGCTTTTTTCTTTTGGCATATACCGAGCAGTGAGAATTAAAGATAAGAAGAAGAATTGATGACAGGGAAGGAGAAGAGATTCGCCGGGATCATATTTGTTGGAATAAGTGTGAGAATTAAAGAACAAAAAGAAAAAATCTTCAATATATATATATATATATATATATATATATATATATATATATATAACACTAATATGCATTGATAGGTATTGAGATGGTAATGGGAAGGTTGAGTACCTTGAAGTTTGTGAAAGTAAAACCTGTTTGTAACTCCATCTCCTTCCTCCTTCTCATCGCCCAGCTCTTCATCTCGTTGACTGTTATCTGCTGCTTCTTGTTCTTCTCCTTCCGGTTCTTGCTCAGAAAGCTCAGATGCAGTTGCATTGGTATGGGCCGAGGCAGGGGCAGGCTGAGGCTCATCACTAATAGATGTAGTAGTAGTAGGAGGAGGAGTTGGAGTGGTTCCAACTCCATTGTTTGGATGCCTTGAGTGCCTCGCTAACAGGCCCACGCCTGCCTCTTCCTCATCATCCCCTTCATCTTGGTCAGACCACAAATGTGTTTTCGGTAACTGTGGCTCCAGTTGCTCCATTTGGTTCTCTCCCTCACTTGCCAAGTCCTCAAAGGTAGAGCCCCACAGCCACTATTCAGTGTTTGGGATATGGGACTTGGATGAAAAAACCCATGGGTGTCTAACTTAAAAACAATCGTACTATACTATTAAATGAGTTTATTAATGAGAAGATAGGGTTTGGTAAACTAGTTTTGCCTAGCTTTAGGTGAGAAGATGATTTTCCATAAAAGTCGACGCAGCAGCAAAAACATAAACAACAAATACAATCCTCCCTTTTCGTTCACACGTAATTATGTCCCCGCGACTAACGAGGTCGACGACGACTTGTCATTTATTCACCGCATGGCTTCCGAGTGTGACAACACAGCATAATATACATCACTCCGTCATCCCTTCTCCACTGCCAATGCATTTACTTCGCATTTCTTTCTCAAGAGTAACTAATTTTTTATTCAAGTCTACATTTTCCCTCATCTATGAAAACTATGAGTCTACGCTTGTCTAGGATATAGCATACGTAAAACAAACCGGAAAAGCCTCTTGCATCGAGATCCTCAACCGTGACCCGTTGGAGTCTAGACACCGTATCCAGTCGGGGCCCACGGCCTCACTTTTCGATCACTACTCGTACCCTAGTGTATCTTTTTCTCTCTCCTTCCATCTGGACAAACGTGATTTCTGATCTTTTCTGACAAATAATAAACAATAACTATTAAATAAAGTCCTGCTTTGTACAAGCAATACTTAATTGCTCACGTCCTCTAATTGTTTTTTGGGTGAATAATTGCTCCTCCCTCACATTGGATGTTTGACCAAAACTCAATTGCAACCGCGAGCTCTACATCAAACTATGCAATTACGACTGAAATAAAAATGCGCTGACAATGTTGTTGGCCGACCACTTGTTTGGTTATGAACAATAAATAGGCTGCAGCGTCTACTACCATGAGCAGATCATAAAGGCCTTTTTATCACCAAGAGTTTAAATAAGCACAAGCTCTTCTTACAGCATGAATTTAAATAAAAATTTAAGAATTTTTTTATTTCAAGTAGAAGTTTTCGCCCAATATGAGGTAGAAAACTTGTGCTTGATATTGGCAATATGGAGCCATTTAATGGTTTGTAAACGAAAGTGAGAGCAGTTTCCCGTAAATAAGGGACATCATTAATAGAGTTGACTAGTAGTCTTTAACAATTAAAACAAGCCATGCGTTTTCATTGGTTTAAAGACAAGGCCCAAACTCCGTATTAAAAACTCTATGGTCACGAATAGTACTTTATAATATAATGTATTGGTAAGAAAAATAATATTATAATATTTAATATATAAATAAAATAATAATTAAAATGTAAATAAAATAATATTATAGTTTTTTGTTTATAAATTGTTATTAAGAATGTAATATTAATTTTTAAAATTATTTTTATTTATTAAAATATAAATATAATATTTTTATTATTTTATATAATATTATTTTAAATATATTTTTATTATTTTATTTTATTTTCATACTTATTATAATTTTATATATTTTATTTTTATTTTTTTAATAATATAAATTTTATTAATAGTTATCATCTACTTTTCAATAAAAAATAATTACTAAGAGTAATAAAAAAATATCTCTCAAAATTTATATAAAAAAAATTATAATGTTATAAAATTTTTTTAATAATCTAATAAAATTAAAAAATAAAAAATATTTTTAATAATATTATAAAGTGTAATGTAATATAAATGTATTGATTTTAGAGGATAAATATATTACATCTATTAATTATAATGTAATTACATTAAAATCTTACATTATAATTATTTATTAAAAAATAAATATTATATTATAATTTAATTAAATATATCTAAAAAATATATTCTTACTTTTCTTATATTAAACACTATGATCAACACGCCAATGGATTATTAGTATTGTTGCTGTTAGTCAATTAGAAGCATCATTATGCCCTTTGCTGCAACTGTTAACCATCTTTACGCATCTGAACCCAATAATTGATACTACTTTGATTTCTAATTCCCCTCCTAAATAAAAAATTATAGACATCATTGGCTTACTTGAATGAAATAACTCTATCCAGCTTCTCTTATCCTATTACTCTGCTATTTCTTTTTCTAATCCATTCATTCCCTACAACCACTTTCATTTTTCAAGCGAGGCTTTTACATGTTCAACAACTTTACAATATATTTCTAAAACCCACATTATAGTGACTACAATCTACTCAAATGCTCAAGTGGCTGTCAGTTTAAGGAGATTTGAAGCAAAAAAAAAAAAAATCTCGTGCCTCAAATTTCAATCACACACTTGCTGTTTTCTTTCTCTCACTTTCATCCCCAGTTCTTGACTTAGTAGTTTTATTTCTCTGTTTGCCATGTGTAAGTAGTTTCCAAGATCAAAACAAAAAGAAATTTAAGTGTTCTCCACAGGTTCAGATTACAAACTGAAACCGAGATAAAAGTTGGCACTTGCCGGGCCAAGTGGAACTAGAAGGTCCTCTATGTCTGCCCTACTGCAAAGAATCTATACTTCCAACCAACAGAACATAAAGCAATTTGATTTGATATCAGAAGGTTCGATGTACACACAGAATGCCAGCAGCATAGGTGCACGGCACTTAAACAGTCCCTCAAATTCAGCAAGATAAGCATTGGAGCTACTAAGACTTCTGAAACTGATTTTGATTGTGCACCGTTAACTTACAGGAGTTGCAGGCACTTCGCCCGATGATATGACTATACAGTTGTCAAGGGAGGAGCTACCAACTTTCAGTTGCGTGCCTAACATACCAGACTTTCCACGTGCTTTACATGATGGTGAAGATACAGTTGTCCGGAAAGAGCTGCCAACTTTCAGGTGGAAGAACTCAAGGAGCTAAATGTGATGTCTAAAACAGCCATAGAGCTTTGGAATCAATAAGTTTGACTAGTAATGGTGGGTTATTGTCCAGAAATAGGCAAATTAAGGCTGACTATAGGCTTCTCAAGCTAGAAGTTGACCTCATAAAAAATGAAATAATCATCATTATAGAGTTCTATTTTTTGCAGATTTCGTCGCATCCAACTGTAATATCGCCATAAAGAAAGCTTATTCAAGATTATGCCAACTTTAGAAACCAACAAAATAGTAAAGTACACAAAAACATGAATATTTCAATTGCCGTATATCCACAAAGATATCCTGGAAAACATTCTCGTCAATGGAAAGGATAAGCCACAAAACTTTACAACTAGATGAAATAGATAAACAGTACCTAAGGACACGGAAGTTCACAATATTCCTCTACAATTCAATGAAGATGCTATTTATTGTTTTGAGTTGTTGCAGCTCCACCCCACTAGCAATTCCAGGATCAATATAGCACAACTGAAAAAGAAGCAGATTATAAGCTCATACATCGAAAGATAGTAAGGTCAACGAGAAAGTTTTTAACATTTGTGTTATAACCTGGTATTGAGGCATCTTCAGGGTGTGGACTCCTCTTTTAATAAGCTTCTGCCACCCCACATTCTTTTTTAGTGATCTTTCCAAAGCAATTGTTCCCTGTAGTTAAGAAATACATTACATAACAAATTAACATTAGCTCATATTCAAAACAAAAAAAACCAATGTAACATTAGCTGCACGACAATCAAAAATAGATTCTAGCCGCATAAAGAAAAGCAGAGTACTGACACCACCGCAAGTCCCAACTTCTGCAATTTCTGGCAAAGAACTTTCTGATTACTTATTTGCCGAACGCCTGATTACTTGACAATATTCGACTGGCACGTGCATCAGACTTGAAGTCTACAGCTACACATTTATATGGCTAAAAGGGCATCTGAAAACCTAAGTCTTCACATTTTAATAGTCAAGCTTTGGCCTGAGTTTTTGAACCAATGCTATTGCCTGATAATCATCCTATACAATTCTTGTCTACCAAATATTTAAATCAAACAGAAACATGCCAAATTTTATATCTGAACTCTAGAAAATTATTGATGCGCACAGACACTGCAGAATTCAAACGTAGTTAACATACACAATCAACAAAAGAAGTGAAATAGCTAGGGTGAGGACAAAGTGTATACGCGGAACTTTGATAATAGTGACAATATTACAATTCATGAGCATTAAAATCAGCAAAATATTCAGTAGTAGTGCCATTTGTCAATGTCTACAAGCTGTTAAGAATCTCAGATAACCATCAAAGATAAAATCATATGTAATACTCACATCAGAAGGGTCCATAATCAAGAGATTGAACTGATGCGTCCCATTCTGCTGATGGTTAACTTGAATCCCAACAATTGTTCGTGAATGTCCGTCATGTTGAAAGTACAAAGGCCTGCTCATGAAAGCTACCATCAAAACGCAATCATAGAATGTAGTCAAAAAATATGATTCCGTATCTAATAAAAACTGAGGGGAATATTGAACAGAAACACACTGCTACCCCTTTGATGCACGCCCCAGGGGAAAAACAATTCGACGTCAGAATGAAAGTTATAGCTAGCCGTGGTGATGGTTACTTACGCTCTATCACTGACTACAACACGGTTGGAGTCAGATATGGTTAACCCTTTATCTGAAAAGTAATTCCACACCCAATCAACCAGAATCTGAGGTCCCCCACTTTTCCCTTTAAAATTACCACTCGTCCCATCGCTCAAAGAGTCCCAAGAGTCTCTAGGCTTCTTTGAACCCTGCTGGCGATGAACATATCTATCCATCGGTCCAGAAACTCGAATTATGCTCCTTTTCATCACTGTTTGTCCAAGAGTAGAACCAGGAACAGAAAGATAAAAGGGCTGAGATTCCTTGGGACCAAAGTCAACCACCCTAGCACGAACGCCAAATGAACGAAAAAGTGAAGCACATTCAGTAGTCCCAATCTTATGATTGGAACCATAGATTTTACAGTTAAAATGTTGGGCACCAGGTGGATCAAATCCCCTTTCCCAAGCAATCTCAAGCCAACGTTGGAGGAAAGCAATATCAGGAACAAAACCCGACCCACCAAACAGTACTTGTCTAGCTTCCTGTCTGTGAGCAAGCAAATGAGAGCTTAGCATTTGGACGTTACGCCAGCCACAACCCCAACCAACATCCACGGACGGAAGGCTTTGGAAGTGATCAACGTAGCCAGACAATATGGTTACTGATGAGTTGTGTTGGGTTTCCAGTTCTAAACAGTTTTTCAGCAAGGAAATCAACCCATCTTTTACATGGTAAAAGTTGCCCCTTGTTTGTAAAGCAATCAAGGCGGAAACGCTATCCACGTCAACAGAACCCGAAGAAGAGGCGATCTGATTAGCCAATTTCAGGTCTTTAGCTTCCTCAGCTTCATCCTCATCCTCGAAGTGACTGTTGGCGTGCCTGTATCAAATATTACTACTAGCTATAAAAAAAATATTAAACCAAAAGAGCTCCACAATTTAGAATTTAAAAAAGTAAAAGAAAAGAGCATACCGTTGGAGTTCTAAGGAGGGAAATGTGAGATGACAAAAAGGACAAGCGGAAGATTCCATAGACCGTACTTCTTCAAAGCTGGAGAGTTTAAAAAGTTTTTTTTTTTTGAATAACTATTTATCTCAATTTCAATGAAAATCTGAATGTTTCGGTTATGGCTAATATTCTGATGTATGATGAAATGAAAATAAATACAGTGCAGGAGCAACTGATGAAAGAAAGATGCGATAATGGTATCGAGAGACTAACCTCCAAAAGCAGGAGAGCAGGCGAGGAGAGAGGAGATCAGAGTCACGCCGCCGATTCGCCTCCTACGTTGTGTTTATGTCTGGTTTTGAGGTTGAGAGAAACCGGGGAACACCGAAAAATATGGAGGGAAATCCGCTGCGCTTCCGTTCTCGCCCTCAGGCAAAGGAGGAAATCCATTATTTAAAAGAAAAAACCATTTAAATTCAAATTACCTAGTAGCGTGTTGCCTGCTTTCTTTTCCCTTCTCTTTTTTTTATTCTTTTTTTCCTTTTAAACGGTGCGTTTAGAATCCATTTTCATCCTGTTATACAATGATAACAGAATTACTTGTAACAGTGTAAAAGTATAAATGAAAGAATAACTGACAAAAAATCTTGTTGGAACAACACATCAATCGTTTTATTAGTTCCATCCTTTCACAAAAAAAAAAAAAAA